CGCAGCTGCCCGTGAAGCTGCGAGGGGTGCTGAGGGCAGCCAGCAGCCAGTCCTCTCCGGCGCCGTTTGCACCCCCGAGGCGCGCGGTCCCCTTCCTGCCCTCCGCCAGCCGGTCGCAGGACCCGGGGCGGCGTGCACAAGGTTGGGTGTTCGCAAGATGGGTTCCCCCTCCCCCCGCCGAAGAACACGGCGAGATAGGCGAAGCAGACGCCGGTGTACGCGCTTAGCGGATCTCACTTGGGAAGGACTAGGGAATTTGGGGGAGGCTGCTTTGAAACCGCTGTAGTCGGTGGTTAACCACTAGCTGCAGTTAAAATTTTAGAAGCAGCAACAGCTTTGCGATGCTTTCCGGGAATATTGCTGCCTTTGAGCTGATGTGACCGGCAGCCCGTGGTACACTGCCACTTTCTACTAACTAGGTGGCGGTGCTGAGAGCAGGATAGTTGGCGTTGTAGGTAATGAAGTGTTGGGAAGCTGGAGCCTTAACGTGCAAGCTGGATTTTGGTGGAGTTAACGGGTGGAACAGAAGAGGCTTCACATGTGCCCTGTGAGCTTATTTGCAATTAAGAGCATTTTTTCAAACTTTACATATGGTTATCTTGTTATGCAATTGCGTTTTAGTGAGATTGTGATTCTTACATTATATTTGGAAAGGAAAAACAAATTTAGTCGGTTAAGCCTTGGTATTACAGTGTTATTTACAAAGTTTCTGAGGTTTGGATCCAGCCCCAGTGGCTGCCACCTGATTGGCAAAGACTTCCATCTGAGGATCAGATGCTGTGCTTGTGTTAGAGCAGTGAGTTACTGATTCAAAAGAAATGTGGCTGCATTACCCTCTTTTTATTTCATGAGTGTTGTATATACTGAGGAAGCATTTTTGTTTGATCCCAATGTTTTCTTAGGCAGTTTGAGATAACGTCTTTGTTATATAAATTATCCAGTTAATGGATCAAGTTCAAATTTTGGATAGACCCAGAGCTCACATTTATTTCAGAAGTTGTGTGGTACATGACAGAATGCTGAATTTTACTGTGTGGAATATCTGAAGTAAAAAAATTTCTCTCTGCTTGCTCTACATTTGTTTTCCAATTTCTTCCTTTGGAGTAGCAGAAGGTAGTGCTTTTGCCAATGTTTTCATTGATATATTTGAATTAGGCTTCTATATCCGAAGCCAAGGATTGTTCAGGGGCTCAAAATGAACCCAGTGAGAGAGAAAATTTAGCCTGTTGACTTGAATGTGAATAAAATGGACACCAGAATTCTTTATTTTACATTCGCCTATAATGACTCCCAACATTTTCAGTGGGTATGTGCAGGAAGGTAAGCACATTGTGTTTGCTGGTTTAATTAATTTTGTTATAATTCAATAGGCATTATTCTTTGTAGTATTTTGTTGTAGTTTGTTGCCTTTTTTTTTTTACTTTTCATTTAACATTATTGTTGTGGTTTAAGGGCTAAGCTTTAAAATGTTTGTCACCACTGCAGAGAGAGTTGCCAACTGGATGTCATGTATGTAAAGCTAGACTAGCCTTTGAATAGCAAGACCATAAATTTAGTAAGAATTTAGTGTGATAAATGGTAGTATACAAAACAAGAATTCACGTCTCAGTGATTATGGCATGTATCTTTTGATACTAATATTGATAACGTACAAAACAGAAAAGCAAATAAACACACTCAGCTTTTAAGTGCCTAAACTGGTTTGAAATAGAAGAACTGTTTTCTGTTACCCAGTTTATGCTTGGGGGAGCGGGGAGAAGAAAAGTTATTTATGAGCATTTATTTTGTTTTCTGGATCTCAGAATTCTGTTATGTAGCAGGATGCTTTCCAGTATCTGCTTTCTCAGTGTCTGGAAAGACAGATGTTGCTGCAGCAGGAGCAATTACACTGATTTGCAGCAGAGGAGGAAAAAGAAAAAAAAAAAAAAAAAAATTCTGACTTTCTCTCTCTGCCCTAGAAAGATCAACCATTTAGCTCTGTTGTGGGCTTGTCAACAGAGGAGATGAGATAGGGAAGTTAAGTTTGCTCAGCAAAAGGGGTGAAGTTAATGTACAAATTAGGAAATTTCCGTTTCCGGAATAAAATGGCTAAATTTGCCTAACAGATTGCGTTAAAGAATTCCACTTGCTTAGCTTTACCTCGCAATTGTCCACAAACAAACCCTCGCCAAAAGTCAGTGAGTTTTCCTAGGTTTTGTTCGTTGTTAGTTGCTTAACTGGATCATTCTGTCCTGTGGGATGTTGAGTCAAAAGGCAGAAGAGGCAGTGATGACTCGAGCCCTGTAGGCTTTTGTAGAAGAGGCTTTCTGAATTGTAGGTTTTTTAAAAGGTGCATGACAGAATCCCATCTTCACTAAAATGACTGAGAATTTTGCTATCGCAGTTCTCTTTCGGTTTGCTGCTTATCCTCTGTAGACCACAGCAAAGTGTGACTGATGGGACCCAAGATTCAACCTATGATAGGGCATGGGTTCTTATTTTAAGCTGATGCTTTAAAAAGTTTATTTTTAGTTTTCAGATAAAAGGTATTTCTACTTTAGTGGATATTTGAGACTCCTTGCAAACAAAACATGCAAGCCAAAGTTAAGAACTGAAGAGCTGATTTGTACTAAATCATCTTTAGCGGAATAAGGCCAGAAGAGATGCAGAGTATGCGTATGCTGTATGTATGTGTGCTACTGCATAGTGAGTGAGCCATGATATTCAAGAAGGGCAAGGGTTTTGAATGTCTCTGGAAGGTGACAGGATTTTTAATGTCACTATAGAGCTCAGGCACAGTAATTCTTTTTTGGCTCTTTTCAGGCTCCTCCTTTAATGATATGGAACCAACTTGACCTGTGATTTTGAGCAGCATTTTAAAGATGATAGTATTGTAATACTTTGCATGTTAGAAGTCAGATTCAAGCTCCTGCATTGTAAGACTCCTGATTTGCGACCAGATAGAATTACAGTAAGTGGTTCTGTATATTCTTGTGTCTTTTTCTTCTCTTAGCGCTTCCTTCCTTAGTGATCTGCTGCATGTAACCTGACTCCTAACCTGTTTGGGGCAGGAGCAGCCTTTCATAACTTGTTTCGGTGGGCTCAAATCCCTGTTTGCAGCTCTAAGAGACCGGTGTAATAGAAAGTAACAGTCTGATGCTGGATTAAGGGCAGGGATAGCTACCCAACGTATCTAGTATTTTTAGGAGATGGACCTCTAGCACAAAAAAAAGAATTGTTTCTTGTTTTCTGTGCAATTCCATATCATAACTAGTTTCATTCTGTGTTTTACTACTGTGCTTGTGGGTATAACAGCTAGATAGTGCGACCTTCTGCATTTTTGTAGCAATGCTGACCTGTGGCAACAACTGCATGTGTTAACAGGAACGCTTGTTTTTGACACAAACCCACCCTTCAGGTATAAGCAACTCCCTTAAGTTACAGGGAGATTAATTTCCCTTATCTATCATCAGATAAACATCTCCAGGCTAGCATTGTCAATCACTGCAGTATAACAAAGCCATTTAGACCATCTTTTCCAGAAGAATTGAACATGTGATGCTGGGTTCAAATAGCAATGAGTGCTAGAAAGGGTGACAACTGCGTGTAATATTTTTTATGTGCATGAATGTGTTTAGGATGATACCTGTCTTCATAATTCTGTGTGTGCAAACTTGGTATTTCCAGGTGTGCCAGAGATTCAGACAGACTTGAAAGCTTCAATGAACAGTTACTAATAGCTGCAGTGTGCAGAGCTTGTTCACTGGTTTTGCCCAGTCACACACAGAGCTAACACGTCACTATTCAAACTGATGTCTGTGTGCATACACCACTTCATCAAACTGCATAAGCTGTGACACAGCTAGTCTTAGTTACACTGCCTTTTTAAATCATTCAAATGTTGTAATTCATATATCACTAGAATTGTTCTACTGCTCATTTGTCCACAGATCATGTTTCATTAAAAGTGCTGATGAGCACCCAGGACTCTGAAGACAGCAGTTTTGTGCAAGATAAGAATGTGTCTTAAAGAAGCTGATGGAGGATAGAGCTCCAGAGTTCCTGGCAGACACTTACAGCAAAAGATGGCACCATAGTCTAGTCTGAAATTGTAAGTCTTAAGGAGGACTAGATGTCCTTGACTTTACAAGGCGTTATTGCACTGAGGGAACTTAATAGTGGGCTAGAGTCTTCTTTCAGGACCTGTGTAGATGTGTTTATTTCTGTTCAGTTACACTAATAGGACTACGGAGTAATGAGGTTTTCTCTACATGTGAGTGTGAACTAAATCCCTCTACATTAGAAGAAGTAATTTTTTTACCCTGGTGAACCTGAGATCTGTACCCATCATTTCTGAACTACTTTGTTTCTAGAACTGCTAGGAAATCCAGGCTGGTGTAAGCTTTACAGCATGACAAACTATGGGTTCCAAAGGAGTCTCCATTTTGAAAGCTTTGTGTTCCAAAAGATGCTAGTTATTTTGCAGAAGGCTGTTTGAAACCTGCAGTTGACATAGGTAATGAAATATGCAAAATACTTCATATGAAATACCCTTGCAAAGTCTTTTTTTTATCACTGCAGGGCCCTGTCAGTAGGGAACAGGTTACAAGTCAAGAGGCTAGGACACTAACACTGCATATTATGCCTTGAAATACATTACACAGTTCTAACTCCAATATTAAGTGCAAACATAACACTATACTTGGCAGATATAAGATTGATAACTGCTCCCGGGGGAGGAGAAATCAGTATTAGTGGATATTTTAGTGGACGAGTCTAGAGGGCTTAGATTTTGCCATTTCAAGAAGTGCAAGAACCTTATCTCTGGCTTCCATTTCCTTTCACCTTCATTACAGAGTCCTTGTAAGAAACACTAAATGCAGAAAGCAATCTTGCAAAGTATGTTTCTATTTCTAAGTAGCAGTGATCAACTCCTGTCTTTCTTTCCAATGTGACCCTGAGAGATGCAGGAGACGGATGTATTTAATTAGGAAATGGAGAGCTAATTTACATATGTAAATTTGATAACATTAGCTTACTGCGCTTATTTTCCACACGTACACACTGTTGAAATATATATGCCTAAATACTTAGAATGGCTATTCTGGTAAGTAGCCCTGTGTAGTCAGACTCTTAGATGTAAATTACTGTTGCAGAAGTTGATGAAATCACATCTAAACCTAAAAGAGAATAAAACAACAAGAACAAAATCAACACAAGGAACCCAATAACAATGCAAGTTGAGGTGTAGCAAAAGCACAAAGATGTTCAAAGTGCATGTGCGTTGGTAAAGATATGTATTTTCATCTGTGAAGCCAATATGAGAAGTTACGGTTAAATGTCCTCTAAGATATCTACTCCTTTGTTCTGTATCTGCGTAGTTAACAGAATACTTTCTATTTACAGTTGTAGCCGTTTATTCAGGTAGTGATGCATCATGTGCATCGCTAGTCATCACTTGTGCATCATCTAGTGCAGCCCAGAAGTGGATCTGTGACATTTGTTACTTCTTGAAGTTCATGTTTACTGAAACTGGAATTATACATAGAAATCAATCTCCCTAGATCCTGTGAATTCTGTGTGTCTGGAGATGCATACCCTTTACTCAAATGTAAGGGGTACAGGTAAAGATAACTTGTGTTATGTGTCATTAAGATTTAGATGTTGAAAACTGGTGTAAGAATAGCACTAATCAGTAAACTTAAGTCAGTAAACTATAAAATTGTTTGAAATAAATGGCAAAGGAGCAGACATGGGACAGTGGGGGCTGTTGATGTGTGGAAAGCAACAAATGATGCTTGAAGGAAATTGTCCTTTCAAAAAAGAAAAGTAAATTATTTGTAGGAATTTTGGTAAAAATCAGTAAGTATTTTAGATTTTCTTTTATAATACAACACAAGTTGTAAATTATGTTTTTCATGTCAAGCTCCTAGGTATTTGACAGTGGAATATTTGCACGGTGGGACCATATCAGCCTATGAAATCATTGCAAATGAGAGTCAAAAGAAGTGTTGCAACAAATTCAGTGTTGGCCTGTGAGTTAAAACATGTTCTAAAATTGTGATTGAACTTAAATGTAAATTGAAAATATTTTAGAAAAGACTTTTTTATTGAGGAGGTATAATTTGGAATGTTTTGATTACCTTCAGTTATTTTATCATCTTCATCTTCAGATACTTCCTTTTGGGTCACTTAGTTTTTTCATTACTTACCTATATTGTTTCTGACAGTCTTAGAAGCAGAAGCTTGAAACTGTCACATCCTTAAAAGACCCAACCAAAACTTACAGGACCATTTGTATTTACTGAGATTAAGTTTGTGCACGCCTTCTTTCATTATTGAAACTACAGCATACTAGTTACATTACTGTTTAATGTATCATTTAATTCTCTGCTGATTTCACCTCTTAGCAGGGGCAGCTTAGATGAATTTAGATGATAAATTCATTTGGACAAATGTATACCTTGCTTTCAAAATGAGGTTGTATCCCATTTTTTTCTGTAATTCTACACCCCAGAAAGTAGCAATCTGTGTGGTTTCTACCCTGAGAGACAAACATTGCCTTTTTCCCTGCAGATAGTTGCTACTCCCCTTTGGTGGGAGAACATACTCTGTTTGTAACACCAGCAATATCATAAATCTCTAATGGTATCTTAGAGTTTGTTAGGACATGCAAATGCTGGCATTTTGTGAAGATGCAGAGAGCTTTTTCAAATATCATTGAATAACCAAAACTACTGAAAAAAGCTCAGAATTTTGCATGGTGAGGGTATTTGTTCTGAACTGTATCTCTCAGGTGCTATAAATAATAACTATTTTCATAATAGATGACTTGCAGTCTGTAAAAGCAGGTCATTCCAATTACTACCTTCTTTCTCTTCCTGCTGCTTCAATGGCAGGAGACTTTTAACAACCAACAGCATTGCAGACTTTTTTTAGGTGGAGGTGAATACTTTATGGATGTGAGATAAGGGGAAGGCTCCATTGGAGTATAACAAGCTTTGGATCCTTTTGGAAGGCAGGATTCAAAAAGATGAGTTGGGCTAAACCAACAGTAACTAGTTTTTTTTTCTTTTTTCTTTTTTTTTTTGGCAGGCAGATACTTACCTAATTTCAGTCTTTAAAGAATGGTTTATTTTTGTAGCCCCATTCCTGCCTCCCACCAGCTTGCCAGGACCACAGCTTTACTTCACATGTGTAGAATGACAGTTGTAAGTGAATGGTAAGGGGACAGGGAGACAAGGAGTTGAGAAGTTTCTTCTTTGGTTGGGAAAAGTACGGGGGAGCAGAACAGTCCAGTGAACCTACTCACTAAAAAAAATTCCTGCTGGTCTTCAAAAATTGGGTTGTTACAAACAGTCTGTGGGTTGTCAGTTGACAGTTGTGTGCAGCTGTGGTGACAACACACAAAGACCAGAAGCTTTTCCACACAACCACTCTGGAGACCTATTTTTACAGTTCTGCTATTGAGTAGCTACCTACTCGAAAGGCAGGGAGCTGGATCTCCCTGGATGCGTTCCATGTGTTTCTCAATCAGTAATGAAATTTTGCATCTCCTGGTGGCATCTTGAACTTGGCCAAAAATTGGGCTATTTAAAATACAGGCAGAATCCCAGAAAATAACATGGAAGGCAGACTATTGCAGGCCTGCTAATGGCAGTGAGAATCCTTATGGGCTTGAGGCTTCATTTTTTTCCACTCTTGCAAGATTTAGGTCATACTGTTTAGGTCAGGACACTTAGTAGCAAGCAAGGCATCTTGATTCAGCCTCTTTAAGAGAATGCTTGTTTTGCCAGAGATGTTATTTGAAGCATTCCTCTTTGATATGTAATACCGCTTTTGACTTTACTGTCAGTTCACTGAATTACACTTCCCTGTTTGGGTTTTGGGGTTTGTTTGTTTGTTTTAATACAGGTAAATAAAATATGCTTACTGTTTTTTTTTTCTAGCATCATCCAGAGATTCTTGGAAAGGGAATCCATTTTATTAATGAGGCAGTACACTTTTTTTCTGATGGTTCTACAGAGCCCTTTTTACTTTTAGAAAGAGAGACTTGCTGCTTCTTTCCTGTACCTTGGCTTTTTGAGTATGGCTAGATTTGTTTATTTTCTTTTCCAGAACATCTTCCATTTGGTACTCCCAACAGCATCTGTTCCCTCAGTCTCAATAACAGTGCATATTACCAGCCTGGGGCTTGGCTGTAGCTGTCTCCTTTAAGCAGAGCCTCCCTTCCCAGTACAGATCACTGCCACCATTCCATTACAGTGACCAAACCATTTACTCCTTAAGTTTGAGAACAGCAAGCCAGAGAGGTGGAATAATTTAAGTGGTTGGCTTGTTTCAGTCCTCTTCTAAACATGGAAATCGGAGCCTGCAAACATTCGTAAGACAAAACATTGGCACAGACTTGATAATTTCTGTGAAACTGCAGATGTGACTACTTTGTTACGAAACTGCTGGGAGCTTCATGAATTATTGTAGCAAATCCTGTGACTAGAAAGCATGTAATGGCTATTTTATTCTGCCGGTGATTGCTTCTGCACTTCAGAGCCCTTTAAAAATGACCCCGTAATTAAAATAGTTAACATTTTATTTTAAATTAGAGGATGACTTCTCACGTATTTACATGGTGCCTAAATTGCACTGACATACATGGGGAGTTGAGTGCACAAATGCTGTGAATTTTAGCCCGTTATTTATTGTCTTAAACCATGGTCTCAGACCATTAAGCACTCTGTTCTTTGTGGTAAATTACTGCAAGCATGTGCAACATTCTCCATGCTATGTATGTTTTATAACTTCTCTAGTTTCTTAATCAGGTTTTTTTTTTTTTTCCCTGAAGTAGGCACTGCCATTTGTTCTTAAATTTCATCTCTTTTGAGCTTTAAGCATCATATGCAACAGTGCATGTCCCGAATTTTTTAGGAAGAAACATTGTCTTTGTCCCTTTGAATTTCGTATGTGCTCTCTGGCATGCTAACCCCTCAAACTCCTGATTGGAAATACTGTAGATCTTGCTACTGTTTTGGCCACTTACCGCAGTTCTGCATGTTGCCAGTGGGCAGCAGATCACAAATGGATATTCAGTGCTTTAAAGTTTTGTAGCGATAT